GGCGAAGCCGGGTCATTCGGCTAGTAGATTATAAACACAAGGTAATAAGACCAAATCCAAATAAATAGTATGTTATAGATTATAAACACAAGGTAATAAGACCTAATCCAAATAAAAAGTATGCTATAGATTATAAACACAAGGTAATAAGACCTTATCCAAATAAATAGTATGTTATAGATTATAAACACAAGGTAATAAGACCAAATCCAAATAAATAAATAGTGTGTTATAAATTTTAAACACAAGGTAATAAGACCAAATCCAAATAAATAAATAGTGTGTTATAGATTATAAACACAAGGTAATAAGACCAAATCCAAATAAATAAATAGTGTATTATCTCTATATATATAAAAGTCAATTTCTGACGGTCTGTCTGTTTCGCGATAAACTCAAAAACTACTGAACCAATTGGTACCAAATTTTGCATGTCGCTTTTTATAAACCAGAGGAAAATTTTCGGCTGCATTTTGATTAGTATTTTTGGCTATTTCTTTTTTTCATTTGAAGAACTTTTTTTTACGCGGACTAATCCGGAATGGAATGAATACCTAAATATGGCCATTTTTTTAAAGCATCGGCGGTTCAGTGGTAGAATGCTCGCCTGCCACGCGGGCGGCCAGGGTTCGATTCCCGGCCGATGCATTTTTTAAACAATTTTTAAAACTCATTTATATTATCTATATATATAAAAATGAATGTATGTGTGTGTGTCTGTTTGTTTGTTTGTCCTTTATGCCTGACCAAACCACTCATTGGATCGCCATGAAACTTTGGGAAGTTATTTAGTATAGTACTGGGAAGGTTTCTAGCAAATAAAATTTTTGAAATAACTTTTCGCCTAGAAATAATCAAGATAAATATTTTAATTTATCTGTTATAATTCAACAATCTGCTCTAAATATTATCATGATGATACGATGATTTTGTAATGTAGAAAATTAGGAAAGACAAAATTCAGGATGACACGGCAATTTATTTGAGACAAGAATAATGATACAATTCAAAGGCAAGATACTATTGCTTTAACTTCCAATAACCGAGGGAACCAATTAATATTGATTTTATTCAACTTATCGAGTATTTTTCAAGGGACCGGGAAAAAATGTTCACTTTATCGAGAGATTCGTTAGACAAACTTTTACTCGGGTAAAACCCGGGCGAAGCCGGGTACGTCCGCTAGTATCTTCTATATATATAAAAATGAATGTTTGTGTGTTTGTTTGTTTGTTGGTTTGTATGTCCGGTATACAAATTCGCAGTAGTTCACTAATTCAAACCAAAATTTCCAAACATAGGTAAAAAAATACGGGGAAGACGATAGGCTATTTCAAAAAATATATAAATCAATTATTAAAACAATATATTATTAGTCAGAAAATGATGATGACGATATTGCTGTATCATGTAAGATTATCAGATACAAAATTATATCGGGAAAATTTCAAAAAGCAGAGACCACGGGTGAAACCAGCACATTATTTTGTACGCAGGAACAAAATTCTAACAGAAAAACATTCGTTCGAGCAGAAAACAAAAGCCAGATCATCTTTCTAAAAAAATATCGCTTCTCAGACACAAAGTTTGGAGCGGGACGTTTCACAAGAGTGACATCCACGCCGCCAATTTATAATTGTAACGAATAGTATTTAAATAAAAACATTTAATCGGGTAAAATATAATAAATATTTAAAACTCAATGTATGTCTGTCTGTTTAGCGATAAACTCAAAAACTACTGAACCAATTGGTACCAAATTTTGCATGTCGCTTTTTTTAACCCGAGGAAAATTTTCAGCTGCATTTTGATTAGTATTTTTGGCCATTTCTTTTTTTCATTTGAAGAACTTTTTTTACGCGGACTAATCCGTAAATGGAATGAATACCTAAATATGGCCATTTTTTAAAGCATCGGTGGTTCAGTGGTAGAATGTTCGTCTGCGACGGGGGCGGCTCGGGTTCGATTCCCGGCCAATGCATTTTTTTTTTTACAATTTTTAAAACTCATTTATATTATCGAATAAGCATAAAAAGACAAGAGGAGCTTCTTTTAAAATTTATTGTGCAAGCTTTCGGACTATACGTCCTTCTACAGGCAAGGATAGTTGTAAAACTAACATGCTAGTTTTACAACTATCCTTGCCTGTAGAAGGACGTATAGTCCGAAAGCTTGCACAATAAATTTTAAAAGAAGCTCCTCTTGTCTTTTTATGCTTATTCGTTTAACCAAATTTTAAGAGTTCTTATCGTTTAATACAAGCCTCAGTTCTTTTTATTAGTCATGAGTCATACGAACCCCAAGCTCAATTTTTACTTGCGTCAACTTAAAAAGAAATCTTTACAGTTATCCAGATGGTAGTTAGTTTTACAACTATCCTTGCCTGTAGAAGGACGTATAGTCCGAAAGCTTGCACAATAAATTTTAAAAGAAGCTCCTCTTGTCTTTTTATGCTTATTCGTTTAACCAAATTTTAAGAGTTCTTATCGTTTAATCATTTATATTATATATAATACAAGCGGATGTACCCGGCTTCGCCCGAGGTTTTACCCGAGTAAAGGTTTGTCTAACGAACATTTGTTAAAACAATTCTCTATAAACTAATATAAAAAAATATATATTTTGATATTTTGAAACTCGTAAATTTGAATCTCTCGATAAAGTGAACATTTTTTCCCGGTCCCTGTGTGCCGTGTCTGTCATCCTGAATTTTGTCTTTCCTAATTTTCTACATTACAAAATCATCGTTTTATCTAGTGAACATTTTTTCCCGGTCCCTTGAAAAATACTCGATATGTTGAATAAACTCAATATTAAAATTTTACACAAATAAATTTACTGGCAATGCGTTTCTATTAAATATCATCAAATATTATCTCTACTTTAATTTACTAAAATCAATATTAATTGGTTCCCTCGGTAATTGGAAGTTAAAGGAATAGTATCTTCGCCTTGGAATTGTATCATTATTCTTGTCTCAAATAAATTGCCGTGTCATCCTGAGATAATCTAACTTTTGATAAATAATCTTTAAGATAATAAACTTAGTGATAATAAAACTTATAGATAAAAAAATCTTGTTAACATCGTCGCAATGGTGGCGCTGCTTGCAAGTTAAATCAACAAATCTGCAAATAACTCTAAGGATATTCAAGATATTCAAGAAATTATTTTTCAAAAACCCTCCCGGGGATATACCTAATTATACCCAAAATTTCACGGCGATTGGAAGTATGGTTTTTGAATCTATAGAGTACACACAGACAGACATCCAATTATATATATATATATATATATATATATATATATATATATATATATATATATATATATATATATATTTAGATAAATATATATTATTATATCAACTATAACCGAAACACTTTACCAAAAAATAGTCGTGGAATCATTCCTGACTACAAAATGAGTGACCCAATGCTTTAACTGCCAGGGCTTTGGGCATGGCCAGCTAAATTGCTTTTTGAAGCCCAAATGCGTCAAGTGTGCTGAAGAGCACCATTCGAAGGATTGTCCAAGAAAGTCGAAACAGCTCCTACCAAAGTGCGCTAACTATGGAGAGGCGCACACAGCCGCGGATGCCCAAATTTTCCGAAGCCACAATAACAGCAGCTAAAGCCTCCCAGACAAAACTCCCCTAACACCATACCTCAAGCAAGCTCCACTAAAACAGAAGAAGCAACTGTTGAGAAACAAAAGGCAAGTTACGCTGAAACTGCAAAAAAGAAAACTACTCGTTCTGACACCAGGGAACTGTGCGAAAAGTTATTAGAAATTATCAAAACTTACTTACAATGAAAGGCAAATTACCTTTAAAAATCGTTTTATGGAATTGCAACGGAATCAAACTCAAAAAAGAAGAATTCCTACAGTTTTTAGAAGAAAACTCAATAGATATGGCACTGCTCAGTGAAACACACTTAAAACCATCTGTCGACCTCAAACTCAGAAACTATCAGACAATAAGAGACGATAGAATCGTTGGAAGGGGCGGTGGAACGGCAATAATTCTGAAAAACTATCTTAAATATAAAAAGGTGCTGATTCAAACATCTAACATGGAAAACACCACAATTCTAATGAAACCAGATGGAAGGGCAGTAGTGCAGATATCGTCAATCTATAAGAAACCCGATCTACCACTCCAGGAGGAAGATCTGAATCTCTTGTTAGAGAATAATCAATCAGTAATCGCTGCAAGAGACTGGAACTCCAAGCACCCTCTTTGGGGCTCAAGAACCTCCAATAATTGTGGAACCGTGCTTCATAATTTTTCCGAAAAAGAAAATCTGGACATTATCGCACCTTTTTTCTTCACCCACGCACTACAGTCCTTTGGGAAATCCAGACTTTCTAGACATCGCAATTCTTAGAAACATCCCCTGGACTTCGAGGATTAAGACCCTGGATACCTTATCTTCAGATCACATCCCAGTAATCCTAGAGCTGACCTGCCCGAAGGATGAATTCACGACTAGGGCTTGCCGACTCACTAACTGGGTACACTTCCAACAAGACTTAATTTCCAGTACGCCTCCTAGAGTACCCTTGAAAACGGAAGCCAATATTGACTCAGCAGTGACCATACTAAATGATAAAATCTACAACAGCTACTCAAAAACACAGTTATATCATATACTTCATCAAAACAGAACCCCTCGACCAAGGCCTTGATAAAATAAAAGAATAAAGCTCGTAAGAGATGGCAAGCAACCTGGGATCCAGCCCATATAGCCATTTATTTAAACCTACAGGGAAATGTTAACAAAGCCCTCAATTCCGACTCCACCGAGAACTGGAATCAATTCATACACAAGATTGAATCAATCCCAAAAGACTTCTGGAGAAAAACAAAATCCATCAGGAAAAAAACGGAAAGGATCTCAAGTTTAGTAACGAACGGCAAAACCTTATTGACCGACAAAGAAATGGTAAATGAACTTGCGGAACACTTCTCCAACCAGTTCTTCAAGGAAAAAGAAGAAGACCAACCAATTATAACTTATAATCACCAACAAGAAAAAATGCTCACAATGATGACACCAAATGAAGTCAAAGAAGTCATTAAATACTTAGCTAACCACAAAGCTCCTGGCCATGACAATATCACTCCGCAAATGGCCAAGAATCTTCTCATCAAATGGATTGTATTTCTAGCTGGAGTATTCAACGCCGCACTGCACTTGTGTTACTACCCCAAAGTCTGGAAGCATGCTATTGTTAAAATAAGTGTGAGCATTTTATAAGCTTTTAATATAATAGAAGAAGCCCCGCTTTGGGCGATATTGTTAAAATAAGTGTGATTTTATACTTTTAAGTTGTTATTTTCTTCAATATAACTATTTCCAGATCTCTACATGTCCAAATATTAGGGCGCCAGTGGCTGCAGAAAAGCAGACCACAAATTTATTCATCTATGGCACATGTAGAGACCTAAAGCTGTGCCGGCTAGCAATAATGTTTATGGGAAATTAACCAATCAATTTTTTGGTTAGACAAATTTTTATTTAGACTAATAAAATCTTTCAATGTACATCACGCAGATATATATAAGATTTAAGAAAAAGTATTAAAAAAAACTATATGGTTAAAAGGGAGGGTTTTATACTTTATACAAAAGGAAAAAAAAAGCCTATCGTGCCAAAGTCCGAGATTATCCCCAACCTACCTCCAGCCACCCATGTCCACGATTCGAAAAGGGGCAGCCAGCGGCCTCCGCCCTCCCCAACTCCAAGTCTTTTTTTTTTTTGCTTCTCAGGAAAAAAAAAATCAAATTTTTGTTAAGAAAAAAAAAAGTCAAATATCCAAATGTCAATCTCAAAAATGTCCCATATCCAAGAATGTCAATATCCCGCTTCCCTTGCCCCAGTGTTGCTGGATTCACCCCCCAAGGCTATCATCCCTCTTCTCTCTATGAAAATAAAAAATAAAAAGGCATCTTAAAAAAATGATAAAACTAAATTAAATATAAAATTATTAAAGAAATATTCACAAAAAATAACAATAAAAAATACAAAAATATTGAATTAAAAATAATTTTAAAAATATAATTATTATTGTTGATTCTGGGCATCTTGGGGTCAGCTTGGGAAAGGTTCAGGGCTCGTGGTGGAGCTGGTGCTCTGCATGAAGATGGTGGAGTCAGGTCAAGCACCATAGGTCGGTGGCTTGACTACGGGGAAGGGGTGTCTGAGTCCATCTTGGACTGGCTTGTGGTCAAGTCAGCCACCATCGGCTCGACCACCAGGAAGGGATGTCTGAGTCCATCTTGGACTTTGGCTTGTGGTCAAGTCGGCCACCATCGGACATGTGGCTCGACCACCGGGAAGGGGTGTCTGAGTCCATCTCAGACTAGCTTGATGTTGGTGGGGCCAGGTCATCCACCACAGGTCAGGTGACTTGACCACCAGGAAGGGGATCTCGGTCTCTGGCTTGGTGCTGCCAAGGCTAAAGGTGGCTTCAGGCTCCATTTCGACACCTCGCAATCACCAGAGGTTTGTGGCTTAGATGGACATAGGTGGGATATGGTTAGGTTAGGTGGGGTTCTGGGTTACTTTGGAATATTAAGGTCACGAGGTGTCCCAACAATCCTCCCTGCCAAAAAAATAATTTTACAAAATAAAAAGGAAAATTAATTTCCAACACCGAGTGACCAGGTAAGCAAACTTAATAAAATAAAAAAAAATACATTTAAAGAAAATAATTACTCCAAAAAACAGTATATCTATACTCAAATATTAATTAATCACTCAAATCCACCCTGGGTGCTAGGGTGAAGTGATGAATGTACACTGAAAGAAAAAAAAATCAAAAATTCTGAAATCATAAATCTACAAATTTTAAAAATATTATAGCATACATATTATCCATAATTATCCAATTTCCATAATGTAACAGTCAAAAAAGTCCTAAAGTACACAAAGGTATCAGGGGGGGGCAAAGACAAGTTTCAAATTTAATGCG